CCCCGCGCTCTTACGCAGAGGCGATTACGAGTCCCTACTCCTCTCAGTGGCAGGCAGCCATGGATGCCGAGATGGCATCCTGGAATTCCACAGACACCTACGTTGACGCAGTTCCCCCGTCTCGGGCAAACATAGTCGATGGCATGTGGATTTTCAGGGTGAAGCGGCCGCCGGGTTCTCCGCCTGCCTTCAAGGCGCATTACGTTGCTAGAGGCTTCAGTCAGCGACAGGGGGTCGACTACTTCCAGACCTTCTTCCCCACCCCAAAGATGACTACTCTTCGGGTTTTTCTGAACGTCACTGCTCAGCGTGACTAAGAGTTACACTCTCTGGACTTCAGTATAGCTTTCTTGCAGGGCAGCTTGCACGAGGAGATGTGGCTGCGCCGCCCACCTGGCTTCACGGGGTCGTTTCCTGCAAGTACCCAGTGGAACCTCCGCCAGCCAGTTTACGGTCTCCGCCAGGCGCCTCGCAAGTGGCACGACACACTGAGGACTACACTTGTGGCTCTGGGGTTTACTCCTTCTACTGCTGACCCGTCGCTGTTTCTACGCACTGACACGTCACTGCCGCCGTTCTACGTCCTTGTGTACGTCGACGACCTTGTCTTTGCCACTACTGACACTGAGGCACTTACCCTTGTTAAGTCGGAACTGCAGAAGAGACACACTTTCACTGACCTAGGTGAACTGCGCAGCTATCTTGGCTTGCAAATCACCCGGGACAGAGCACGACGCACCATCACCCCGACTCAGTCACACATGATGCACCAGGTCCTTCAGTGCTTCGGCTTCCAGTTCTCCTCGCCACAGCCCAATCCTCTGTCTACCGGCCAATTGCTCTCAGCTCCACCTTCGGACGAGTCCGTAGAGCCGAATGGTCCGTACCCAGAGCTTGTGGGTTGCCTCATGTACCTGATGACATGCACACGACCTGACCTCGCGTACCCTCTCAGCCTTCTGGCTCGCTACGTGGCTCCCGGTAGGCACCGAAAGGTGCACTGGGATGCTGCGAAGAGGGTACTGCGTTACTTGTGCAGTACGTCGGGCATGGGGCTCCTGCTTGGAGGACGGGGTCCAGTTGTCCTCACTGGTCACGTAGACGATTCTTGGGTTGACGACTCAGCTACGCAGCGGTCGTCACAGGGTTACACCTTCAGCCTCGGTTCCGGCTCTGTTTCCTGGCGGTCTACCCGCTCGTCTTCGGTTCTCAGCTCCAGTTGTGAGGCTGAGATCTACGCCGGGGCCATGGCTGCACAGGAGCTCCACTGGCTCACCTACCTGCTGACTGACTTGGGAGAGCAGCCTCGTTCGCCTCCAGTTCTGTACGTAGACAACAAGGCCATGATTGCCTTGTGTCAGGAGCACAGACTGGAGCACAGAACGAAGCTCATCACTCTGCGATACTTCCTTGCTCGAGAGTTGCAGCAGCGTGGCCAGCTTTGTCTTGCGTACGTGGCCACTAGAGCCAATACTGCTGATATATTCAACAAGTCACTTCCGCCTGGTGATCATCAGCGCTTCTCTACTGTGTTAGGCCTTGTGCCTACTTTGCCTCACTTGCTCACTGCGTGACTTTGCTTGTACTGTGATCAATATATATACCTGCATGCTTCCACTTGCTAGGGTATGATCACTGTATTATTTGTGTTCTTTATATAACTCGCATGTGAACCGGCCTTGTGACCTGTTGCTTGTGCTTGGACTGTGTGGTGACTTTGTGATCCACCCTGAGCTTGCTTTGCTTTTCTTGACTGGTCTTGTGACCGCTTGTTCTCCCCCACTTTGCCTATGGGGGTGTGTCAGAATGTTATATTGCTTACATTGTGTAGGCTATAGTGGGGTAGCCCATAAAGGGTACAACCCAATTAGGGTTATTACTTGTACCCAACTCTTTCATAGTTCATTCATTCTTCTGACACACTGGACCTAGTGCATATGGATGTATGAGGCCCTACCCCGGTTGCTGCACGAGGTGGCCATCGCTATTTCCTTTTGATAGTTGATGACCACACTCGCTACGTCTCTGTGCACCTCCTCCATACTAAGGCTGAGGCCCCGGAGGCGATCATGGCATGGGTTAACCAGGGCACCCAAAAATTCACCCTTCCTGAGAGCCCACAGCAGAACGGCAAAGCAGAGAGCCGCAATCACACTATGGCGCAGATCACTCGCTGCCTCCTCAACCACTCCAACGCACCACTCACTCTGGGGGTACGCCCTCTATCATGTCGCCCTCCTCTACAACCTCTACCCTCACCCGCATCTTCCCGACACCACTCCCACCACACTCTGGCTCGGGAAAACACCCATCGCTCGCCCCCTTCGCGTCTGGGGGTGCACCGCCTATGTACTCCTCAACCCCCAGGCTCGACGGTGGCAAGCTTGGTCCCAAAACTCAAACGTGCATATACCTTGGGCATATCAATGACCCCCTTGACTACCTTTTCCTCAACCCCTCCACTCAACAACTCGTTCGGAGCCGAGATGTCGTCTTTGATGAGACTCGCCCCTTCTACTCCACCTCGGGGGGGGATCCCCCCTCCGGACCACCCTCTCTTGTGTAGGCTGACTTTGATGCGCCCTCTGAACCTCCGCCTGCACCAGCCCCCTCACCTCCTGCTTCTCCTGCCATCGCACCATCCCCGTCTGAGGTCTCCGACCCGACCTCTCCGGTGTCCTCGGCAGCTGCTCCTCCATCTCCCCCTTTGCCAACTGCGCCCCTACCACCAAGCGCACCAATCACATATCATCGACGGTCGAACCTTTCTGCCCCACCTCCTCCCCCCGTTCCCTCCTCCACTCAGGAACTTGCTCTCCCACAGCCGAGCAAACAAATCACGTACCAACGACGGCGGATCCCTCCCCCCAAGCCCCTAAGCTGTCCCCTCCAGGAATGCCTGCTCCACCCTCTTCTCCGGTGGCTCATGGCACTCGGTCGCATGGGGCTGCTCCGCCACTAGCACTTGCCATTCGATGCTCAGTGATCACTCCGACTCCTCCTGCTGGGGGGGATGTGCCCTCTACCCTTCTGGAAGACAATTATGAGGAGTTGTGTGATCGCCACGCTATCATTGCTTTCCCACATCTTCCCCGATATCACTTAATCCCCCTCGCTCAACTTCTCGGAGAACCCAACCATTCCTATCCCTCTCACCGTCCAAGAGGCTCTTTCGGGTCCCCATCCTGCCGAGTGGCGCGCTGCCATGGAAACTGCGTATGAAGCCTTCACTCGCAACCACTCCTTTGACGATGAAACTCCACCTCCGGGAGTTAACATCGTTGGGGGCAAGTGGCTGTTTCGAGTGAAGCAGCTTCTGGACGAGGCACCAGTGTTAAAAGAACACTATGTGGCCAAGGGATTCACTCAGAAGCAGTACTTTGACTTCTTCAAAACCTTCTCTCCCACATCTAAACCACCCACAGTTCGCACGCTCTTGGATGTAGCCGCACGAGTCGACTTTGAGATCAAATCCATGGACGCCTCTTCAGCATTCTTGCAAGGACACCTCAAGGAGACCTTGTTTATGGACCGACCTGAAGGCTTTCCAGGAGAGTTCCCTCCCAACACTGTCTGGAAGCTGAATGGCCCTGTTTACGGCCTCAAACAAGCCCCTCGTGAATGGCACAATAAAGTGAAAGAAGTCCTTCTCTCCTTGGACTTCCACCCATCACCTGCTGACCCGACTCTCTTCATTCGCCGTCACTCTGAGCCATTCTACATCCTTGTCTACGTCGATGATTTCATCCTCATTGCCAAGGACTCGGCCCAGATGACCTCTGTCTAGGCGGCCCTGAGCAAAGCCCTCCTGATGAAAGACCTCGGTGAGCTCAAGCACTACATGGGGATGGAGATTACTCGTGATCGCCAGGCTCACACCATCTCACTCTCCCAGGAGTTCTACATCAACAATGTACTCAAGTGCTTTGAGATGGAGTTGTGCACACCCATGGCCACCCCGCTGCCACTACAGCACCTCCTCACCGCTCCAGCTGTCCCCACACCAGAGGCCTGCACTGAGCCATACCCAGAGCTTGTTGGGTCCCTCATGTACGCCATGACGTGAACCCGGCGTGATGTGGCATACCCTGTCAGTGTCCTCTCTCGCAATGTGGCTCCTGGACGCTTCACTGACCTTCACTGGAAAGTGGCAAAGCGGGTGCTGCGCTATCTGCAGGGAACCAAGTCTCATGTCCTCACCCTTGGTGGGGTTTCTCCTCCTCGACTAGAAGGGTACACATACTCCTCCTGGGTTGATGACCAGACCGTCTGACGCTTCTCCCAAGGCTACTGCTTCACCCTTGGGAGCGGAACTGACAGCTGGCGCTCCACCCGGTCGTCTGCAGTCTCCCTCTCCTCCTGTGAGGCAGAGCTCTATGCTGGCACCATGGCGGCCCAGGAGGCCCGCTGGCTCACTTTCCTACTCCAGGAGCTTGGCTACCCTCAGCCCACTCCCACTCTTTGGTGTGACAACAAGAGCACCATCCACCTCTCCCAGGATCCCGTGTACCACACTCGCACCAAGCACATCGAACTTCGGCACTTCTTCATTCGTGACCTTGTCCAGCGGGAGCAGCTCAATGTCGAGTATGTGGCTTCTGACTGCAACTTGGCTGATCTGATCACCAAGCCCCTTGGGAAGGTTCCTCACCATCGCCTTCTAGGCGCCATGGGGCTCTGCGCTCCACCTTCTCTGCCATGAGTTCGATTGACGCCTATGGGGGGGTGTTAATGTTAGCCCTCGATCTCACATTTGTAGTTGTACTTTTTATATCCTAGTTTAGTATAGTTTGCACTTTGTGTTTGGTTGGGTGTACACCCACATCCCAACCAAACCCAAATGTGATCTCCAAGCAATCTCCAACCCACCAATTGGAGATTGCCTTGGGATTACCCCCAATTCCCTAGGATTGCCCCCGATTCTCTCCCCACCCTTACCTTGCCCATTTCCAATGTACTTTAAGAGCCTTGAGCTCATTACTAATGCATGGATTCTAAGCTCAAGTTCTAACAACCTCCTCCTCGTGGTACTGCCTCACCCGCTCCCCCTCCCGCCTCGCCGCCGCCGCCTCGCCCCCCGCCTCCTCCACCTGCCGTTGCGCCTCCTCGCGCGCACTCCTCGCGCTTGCCAGACGCTCTTCCTCCAGCGCGTGTTCCGACTGTGCCTGCACGCCCTGCGCGGCGGGGTGGGGGGGATGGCGGGCACAGGTGGGGAGGATGGGGAGGAGGGTGGCGGGGTTGGAGAGGGCTACAAGGGACGGGCGGAGGGGTGGGGCGGGGGGGCGAACGGCAGTGACGTGATGATGAGGGCGAACGGCAATTTGAGGGCGGGACCAGGGAAGGTTCGCACTGCACGGCACGTCAACGCTGCCTTGGACGCACCTCTAGTTGACCCCTTAACTCGCTGCACTCTATGTGCGCCGCCCACAGCTTGAGTCGCAGGCGGTCCATCTCCGCCCAAACGGCCCACCTTGATCGGATGGAACAGCGAGCGAGGTGGCGCCTCGGCCTCGTTACAATTCGTGGCGACAGCAGGAGCGAGGGGCCCATCGCAGGCCGCCGCTGATACCGCCGCCTTGGCCGCCTACTCGTCGTCCGCTAAGCATGCGACTGCACCGTCTTTCGATTTGTGTGCGACACCCTGCGACAGACGGGCGAGAGGGGAGGGGCGGGAGAGAGACGAGGGAGCAGCTGAGCACTACGTAGTAGCCTTCGCCAAAGGCAAATGAGATGTCACCAGCATAGCCAAGAGCCACACAAATGCAGGAAGCGTGCGAAAAGTCGAACCTGCATGGCTGTCGCCGGGCCTGAAGAGGCCCATCCTGTTGGAGGTTGCGTCAGGCAAGGTTTGCCCCCAACCACCGAGTGAATCTCACGGTTGAGTGAGCTGCAAGTTGGAAGGTACACGAAGATTGGAGATTGTCGAGAAGGTGCAGGTTGACTTCGGAGGACTTGCACTTCGGTGCCACATGGCAGCACAAGAACCATCGAGACTGAAGGAGACTTCGATTCGGTGAAATTCGAGTTCCGAATTTCACCCCTTCGAAATGCTACTCGAACATTCGAGAGTGTAGCGACTCGAGGTTACTTGTGCGACTCGATGTATTGCAGTTCATATTGCATGAATCATACTAAAAATCAGAGTTTCCTATACACGGTTGAACTCGACACAAAATCCAAAGAGCTCCTATCTTGCATTCAAGAGCACCACCTAGCGCGTGAACGCCTATATCTCGGCGGATACTTAGGCGATCGACGTGTTCTATGGCTTGATGGAAAGCCAACAGAGTGCTCTATCGTTTAGTACAACTTCTAGTTCCTGCAAATTAGAGGAGAGTCCTCTACAACAGCTGCGTCTGACGGGCGAGAGGGGAGGGGCGGGAGAGAGACGGGGGAGCAGCTGAGCACTGCGTGGTAGCCTTCGCCAAAGGCAATTGAGATGTCACCAACACAGCTAAGAGCCACGCAAACGTGGGAAACATGCAAAAAGTCGAACCTACATGGCTGCCGCCGGGCCTGAAGAGGCCCATCCCGTGCGGTCGTGCCACAGACGATCCATTTATCGTATAAATCGCTCGCTGCTGGTGAAAGCCCGCCCATGCTCGAATATGCGTTCTCAATCCAGCGTAGTCGTCGGCAACCGCGCTCGCCATGGCTCGGGGCAGGGAGGGGGCGTACTACGATGGTGTGCAGTAGGAGGGTTGGTGGATGCAGTCGGCGGGCATGCGTTGCGGCAGCCACAGGGTCAGAAGGGTGGAGCTTTTGGTTCCAAGTACCCACCATTGTCGACTCTCCTCTCCTCTTGTGGGCATGGAGGGACGGGAGCTGAGGGCGTGGAACAAGCACAGAGGTTCATGTACAGGCAAATGTCCCTCCGAAAACAGGTGAAGTCCAATTTCCTGAGCCCATTTGCACAAGTGGACCCAAGTGTGTATTGGCGTGGTTCCTGGGACCATTTGCAGTGTCCCCAAGAGCCAAGGATATCGAAGCTAGCTATGCGAAATATCACAGAAATTGTGGTACAACATGTCACACATGCACGAATTGGCACGAACAACCCAAATTCTTGTCCTGCAATTTCGTCTAGTACGTGGGTGTCGTTGGTGAAATGGTTCAGGGTTCATTCCAAGTACCCACTTCGCGCGCTACTGTATTAAATTTGTTGATTGTACTGGCAGGTCTGTCATAATGTTATATTGCTTACTTTGTGTAGGCTATAGTGGGGTAGCCCATAAGGGGTACAACCCAATTAGGGTTAGTACTTGTACCCAACTGTTTCATAGTTCATTCATTCTCGTTCATTCTTTTGACATAGTTTTAGAGCAAGTCCTTCGTTAGGACGAAATTTTTTTTGGGGCCCACCACAGTGCTGCCCCACTAGCCGCCCTGCTGGCTCACGCGCCGCCCTCTGCAGCCCTCGTTCCACACCTGCTGCCCCGTGCGCCGCCCTCTTGCGGCCCGCCCGTCGACCCTAGGCCCCACGCGCCCGCCCCTTGCGGCCCGCCCGTCGACCCTAGGCCCCGCGCTCCCGTCGACCCTAGGCCCCGGCCCGCCCGTCGCCCCTGCTGCACCGCGCGCCCGCCCGTCGACCCTAAGCCCCGGCCCGCCCGTTGCCCCTGCTGCCCCGCGCGCCCGCCCGTTGACCCTAGCCCCGGCCCGCCCGTCGACCCTAGGCCCCGCCCGCCCGTCGACTTTAGGCCCTGCCCGCCCGTCGACCCTAGGCCCCGGCCCCCCCGTCCCCCCTACTGCCCCGCGCGCCCGTCGACCCTAGGCACATGCCCGCCCGTCGCCCCTGCTGCCCCGCGTGCCTGTCGACCCTACGCCCCGGCCCGCCCGTCGACCCTAGGCCCTGTTGGTGCAACCCTACGGTTTGCATTCGGCTTGTTGTCCGTATGCGTGCATGCGTGTGTGCATGGAATGGTATGACGGCATGAAATAATATATATTTCATGCTTACAATAGTGTGTGAATGATGAGGCATGATTTTGAATGTGTGTGTCGAGTCAATAGCGAGTTATCGCTAGTCGCGTGTCACGTCGTCGTTTGCGTGTCGTGTGCGGTTTTCTATTTTGTCGTGTGTGGAACGTTTGGCTTGTCGCAGGTGTGCGCAGCAGAATTCCAAGAACTCAAGGAAGATTTTACCTTGAAGAACTAGAGCCTTGGTTTCAAGAATCAAGTGATTTCGAAGCTCTCCAAAAGGGTAAACTTTAAGATAGTGAGAATAGTTGCATTACTTTGTGTAGTGTAACATTTCTCTTGGTGTAGGCCCTTGTGGAGGGTAGTTTCGAGACCCTTCGTGGTTGGGGACAGTGTGGCACTGTTCCACATCACTGTACCTCGGCTCTTGGGGTTTGTAGGAGCTGGGAGTCATTCCCAACTCGTAACTCTTCCTAATTTGTGTTCTAAGTCTATAGTGGCTGCCATAGTGTCGTTCGTTCAAACCGACGCCGTGTCGTCAATTCTTAATGAAATCGTGAAATATAATTTTCTTAATGTAGGCGACGTTAAGACGCTCCAGATCCAAGTTGAATCAGGTCATTTGAAGCCGTGACCAGAACGCTATCAACGTTTGAAGCTGCTATGCAGAAATCCGACTGTGCACTCTATCTTTCGTTTTAGGCACATTCAAGCCTATTGTGACTATAACAGGCCCGGCCCGCCCATCGACCCTAGGCCCGGCCCGCCTCTCGCCCCTGCTGCCCCGAGCGCCCGTCGACCCTAGGCCCCAACCCGCCCGTCGACCCTAAGCCCGACCCGCGCGTCGACCCTAGGCCCGGCCCGCCCGTCGACCCTAGGCCCCGGCCCGCCCGTCGCCTCTGCTGCCCCGCGCGCCGCCCCTTGCGGCCCGCCCATCGACCCCAGGCCCCGCGTGCCGCCCCTTGCGGCCCGCCCCTCGCCCCTGCAGCCCGCGAGCCGCCCCTGCAGCCCTGCGCGCCGCCCTTGGTGGCCCTCTAGCCGACCCGGCTGCCATGCTAGCCGCCCCTTGCAGCCCTCTCGCAGCCCTTGCAGCCCCGCGCGCCGCCCCTAGGCCCGCCGGCCGCCCCTAGGCCCCCGAGCCGCCCCTCTTGCAGCCTGCGCACCGCCTCTTGCAGCCCGCTTGCCGCCCCTTGCTGCTGCCTTCCCTGTTCCCTGCGCTGCCCGGCTTCTGCCCGCCCTGCGTGCTGCGCCGCAATGGCTTCTCTTAGCGTTCTCGCGTTCGATCATGAGGGCCGCCCGATCCAGTTTGACACGTGGCTCGACGACCTGCAGGTGTACCTACTGAGCACTTCTAGAGACAGCGTTTCGTTGTTTGACCACACGTCTGGCGCCTCTCCCGCCCCTCTCGCCACAGCTGACAGTGCGACTCGCTCACAGTGGCTTACTCGTAACGCTGCTGCTCGCTTAGCCATTCGCAACCACCTGCCGTTAGCCGAATGCGCTCACTTCGGACAGCACAGGACTGCACATGCACTGTACGGCGCTGAAGTCGCCCGTTACTCCTCGCCTGCCACTGCTGCTCTAGGCCGTCTTCTACTGCCCTACCTGTCACACGGGCATGAGGGACGAGGCAGTAATGTGATTAAGAGAGCAGATAGGGAGCAGACGAACAGGGAGATGACGAAAAGACATGGGAAAATGGATTCAGCATATATTTGGATTGCACAGTGACTGCCATAAGGGACACCTCAAATTAGACATGGGAAATTGAGTTGAGTATTGACTCTTGCTGGCTCGATTCACTTGCGTGGAGCAAGAAAATCACCCCATCACGCAAATGCGGAAGATATTTCCTCCCCAGATATGCAATTCTTTCTTTGTGGGTACAAATCTAAAGGAGGTTTCATTACTTGTACTATGCAGCTCCAGTTTTCGTTACCTCTTGATGAGCTGTCCGCCTTTGCCACGGTAGAGGACCTGGTTACCCACCTCCGCACTAGCGACGCTCGCTACCGCGCTACCGTCCCAGCAGATTTCCTTGACACGAACCAGCCCTCGATGTTCATCACTCTCTACTTTACAGTCAGCCGCCTCCCTGACTCTCTTCGCTCTGTCAAGGACCAATTTCTCGCACTTGACCCCACAGTCCTCACTGTTGACCTACTCGAGCAGCACCTCTTTGCATCTGAGACTAGTGTAGTCACTGTAGGTGCTGCTCGTGGCACTCCTCGCACGCCCTTCTTTCAGGGGTGTTCTGTCAGAACATTATAGCTTATACATTTGTGTAGGCTGTAGTGGGGTAGCCCATAAGGGGTACAACCCAATTAGGGTTAGTACTTGTACCCAACTGTTTGCTAGTTCATTCATTGTCGTTCGTTATTTTGACATGGAATCAGAGCAGGTTCCTTGGGCCCACCACCTGCTACGTTGCTAGTACCCCCCTAGGCCCGTCGCCCCTAGGCCCGTCGACCCTAGCCTACGCGCCCGGCCCGTCGACCCTAGCTTACGCGTGCCCGGCCCGTCGACCCTAGCCTACGCGCCCGGCCCCGTCGGCCCCTCGCCGCGCGCCTGGCCCCGTTCCTAGCTCGCGCCCGGCCCCGTCGGCCCCTCGCCCCGCGCCCGGCCCCGTTTCTAGCCCGCGCCCGACCCCGTCCCTTGCCCGCGCCTGACCCCGTCGGCCCTTAGCCCC